GAAATTTGTGAGTGTTCTTGCTTTATTCAATATGCTTGATCGTTCATTGTATCGGTCTCACATGTAACCAAGTATCAAAATTCACGAGTTTCTAATCCATTAGAGTGACGCCAAAACATGGTTCAACGAACAATAATATCAGATTCAAACTATGACATAAATGACTTTATATGGTACATCTAATTCGAGCTACGTTCGTTAAATTATTTAGGTTTTCGACTAAGAACAGTAGCCTTAGGTCTATGTAAACTCCATCTTAAAACCTACAACTATTGAGGTTTGAAAATCATTCACCACGTGAACGACTGTTACTAACACATCCCAAGTAAACCAACAACCATTAGGAAAAAAAAGTTATTCAAAGCACAACATGATGAGCAAGGAACTTGGCGATAATGCACTACCCTACAAGGTGGCTTGTCAATATAGCAATATTTTATAGGTGGATTAATTAATTGGAAGAAACAATATAAAAAGGAAAAATAATAAATAGGGTTTTGCCTTTTTTTCCTTTTGGGTGGGTACATTGTCTCTGCAAGAGGTGTACGAGGTTTAGGCCTAGGGAGACGTGGACGCTCCTTCTCCATTCATGGAAAGCCCTTCCCTCAATATTTTAATCCTTCGTTTTGTCAAACTTTCTACTTTTATTCATTTTTTTTATTATTTTATTATTTGGCTTTTTATAATGGTTTTTCTCAGTCTTCTTCATCAGCAATTATTGATTACTTTGAGATGATGAGGAGGAGACATAAAATAATAAAATAATACATAAATGAAAAATATCCAAGACGTTAAATTACTCATTTGCCCTTACTGTTTGACTGTTGTTTTCTGGGCTTATATGCATTTTATCATAAAAAATAAAACTTGGGATCTCTCTCTTTTCCTTGTTTTCTTTGGGTAGGCGTAGGAGGATTTTATTTTATTTTCTCCCCAAAACAAATCTTATTAATCATAAAAGAATTGATTTCAGTTTGAATTTTGCCACATAATAATTGGTTTCAAGTTTGATACAAAAGTAATAAAAGCGTTTGAGTAATTTGACATGAATCACACGATTCACACCAGACATGGAACATCAAGAACACTAAATGGAAATGGATCATACTTTTGTTTTAATTTATAAAAATGTTCTTACACCAGAAATAAAGTGAAAGGAAAGATCATTGAGGCAGACATACAAACTGTTGTATGTGGATTTATATGTACAACTTTTGACCTTCAGATGTGATTTTTGGTAACTCTGTTTTCCCCCAATATATTAATCAACACACTAACTAAAATGCTTTTCATACCCACCACAAAATTTTAAAAAAAAAATTTCAACAACGAGGATGGGAGTCGAATTTCAGAGCTCTTCCAACATTCTTAAGACCTATATCACTAAATTAAGAGTTAATTAATCCAACAGGGTAATATTTAAAAGGCTACAAGCTCAAAAATTAGACAACCAAATTTCCTTGACAATTTAAACAATACTAATGTAATTCATAATTCATGGAAAAAAATAACATTACAATCAAACTACAATTGTTGTCTACGAGGTTTCATATTATGAAAAAGTTCCATTATATTTTCATTATTAATATAAGTAAAAACATCTTTCTCAATGTAAACAACGGAGTTATCCCTCAACTATAGATTCCCATTTTGTTCCGCAATGGTGTTTTCACAATATTTATAGCCGAAAAAGCTTTCTCCACCGAAGCCTCTTTGAGGCATTTCGTCAAACATTTTATGGGCACAAGTAGAGGGGCAATTTCTAGCATCTCCATGACTTTTTCCTACGAGGGGAGGTGCATGCCACTACCCATGACACCTTATTAGTGTGTAAGAGAACCCCCTCCTTGTAGTTTAGACAATCACTTGTATTTTTAAAAATAATAATAAACTAAGAGTGAATTAGTCAAGTATATAAATATTGTATAAAACAACAACAAAATAATTATCATATATTAAAAAAAATAAAAATGAACAACATAATTGTACTTGAAAAGACTTAAATAATGGCAATCATTTAGAGGAAACTTAGGTATCAAGTCTGTATTTTCCAAAAAGTAAGAGAAAACTATCAATTTTAATATGTACTAGAAGAGGTGTATTGTCTCTTGGAATGGAAGCATTGGTGAGGCAATACAATAAACTTTAATGTAAACCAGATTTCAACCTAGAATATACAACATTGTTACATTAAAAAAACACATAAAATTAGTGATAAAATCGTACTAAATCATGGACACCAGATACAATGCACTAGTGGATATAATATACCCAAATGGGGCAAACATCAGATTATAAAAAGCATAAAACTTCGAGGAGATTAAGATGCCAAAATTATTTTTATATATATAAAAACAAGAATGCACGCCAATTCAGAGCTGAATCAGAATATAATCAAGACTTATTTGTTTTAATGAGGTTTTGTTGTATCCATGCTTAAAAGTTAATCAGGTCCAAAGTGCATATCAGACAAGGTTTTGAAAAGCAATTTTGCATTGTTTATTTGTTAAAGTCAGGCTGCAGCAGCTGGTTCGATGGATATGATTCACATTTCAAAAATTACACCAGAAAAAAAAACAGCTATACAAACAACATGCATATAAATATATATATATATATATATATATATAGAGAGAGAGAGAGAGAGAGAGAGAGAGATTGTCCAATGTGTCCAAAGAAATCATATAAGAAAAGGCAAAACAAGAAAGAAAGGGAGGAAACCTTAAAATCCAAGTCCAAGGTTTGGCCTCTTCTCAGTATTTTTCCTTGTTTAAAGAAACAAATACAGAAGGCCATGGAGTACTTTATGTCCTTTTAGGCTATGAACCGGCAACACAACAGTTTACAGTTTTTTTTATAAAAAAATTCTTTATACTTTTTGATGTATAGTTGTTATAATATAAAAGCACCTTTCCCTTGGTTCCTAGAAAGAATTTTTTTTAAAAGGATAAACAAAAGAGTAAGTTGTTTTCAATTTGAATCTTGATGGAGTGCATGCTAAGAAATTCTTGTTAAAGATCTGATCCATGCTAGCTAAGATTATTTTAAAAGATATATACAAGGCCTTGCATGTTAATGATCCATAATATCCTAACCAATCTTAGCCTTCCATTTGTTTGAGAATCACATGTTCCACCTATCATCACAATATCATTTATGTTTTCAGAAAAAAAAAATAAAGCAAAATATATCACTGTTACTATTGAGAGAGGCGATAATATGTTAAACTCACATACACTATACGGATATTAGGACTCGAACCTAGAATCTTGCACTACACTAATGGATCATTTGCATATATCATTTATATTTGTTACATGGAGGCTCTCTCACCTAAACTCCATTGACAAAAAGCAACACAATAACATCACAAAAAGGGGCAGAAATAGTCCCAATCACACAAACAAGACGTTTTTATAACAACATCAGAACCAATATTCAAGACTCACATAAGTTTTTATTCCAATGAAGAAAAAAGAAAAAATTCAGGAGGAGAAACAATCAGATTCATGCTGTAACAAAAATCAATTTTGCAGATCAAGAATCAAAATTCAAGCCCAAAGTGGAGCAATTTGTCTTTAAGCAAATGTCTGGTATGTTCTGTTTGGAAAACCTCCCACTATCCAAACCTGTGTCAATTTCTTATCCTTAACTTGTTTCCACCCTTTTGTGAGAGGATTCAAAAAAATGGTGCTGCTCTCTTTTCCCTTTTGTAAGTTAAAGATGATTGGCTGATCCAGATATTTGCAAAGTTGATATCAAAAAAAGCCTACCTACTACCAACGAACAGCAACAGCAAATGCGTTCTCAGTTTACTTGGAGTGTCAAACTTTCAAAACTTATATCAAAATCAGTCTACGAGCAGACTTAACCTACATGTCCTATTTTTATCCCTTGCTTCAACTGCCTATTGCTATCAAGCAAACCCTACTTTATTGTTACTTTCCATATAAATCAAAAGAATTTACAGACAATATGGGGCACATTCCCATCATTCATTCCACTTGAGCATAAAGATGCATTAGATAACAGATTCGGTAGTCGGCAGAGGTGAAAAATTATTATGGGGGATCAAAAGACCATTTCACTACTTTTGATATCGTTTTGGCTATTAACCTATTATATAGAGTACTTTATTTGGTATATATATTTTTTGACGAAAACCAACAAATAGATCCTTTGAAGATTTGCTACTCACTCATGTCATGGGCCCTAAGATGGAAAAATTCTTCGGTGTGACTGTCATAGCGTCATGTGGTGTTATCAATCAAGTCATATTATAACATTGATTATACCATAACTTTTCTGAGTTAGGTTGTGAATTTCACAACATGCTCGTGGCCAGACTCGGAAAAGTTATGATGTAAACAAACACATTTATTTATTAATACCATACCTAAGTTCTTGAATTCGTCTCTAAAATGATTTTTTCAAGTTTTGTCAAGGATAACTTGCTACTAATGTGATGGGCCTACATAGCACATCGAAGGCAGACGCTAAGATAGGTCTAAATCATCAACATTATAGCACTCTTTTGCAGCCACACTTTATAGCCTATAGGCAAACATTAATTGGACTGAACATACAAGGCCTCTTCCAACTGCAGGGCCACATGATTCCAGAGTCTATTGCATGCCGTTGGGGCTCATCTGAAGGTACAAGTCTCTTACTATCTTTTTCTGGGGTGAAGATAACTGTCTTACTTTTAAAGGGAGCTCCAATTTTCACCAATAAACAACTTTCAACACAAATTGATGGTACCATGTCCCTAGTATTTGCTAGAAAACCAACCTGTATTTGGATTCTGATCCATAAGAATATTGTTCCCAAGCCTTTCTTTAGCCCCTTCCTTTTCCTTCTCAATTTCTCATAGAATTGTGATAAGCATATGATATGAGTGTCAAGGTAAAAATCTTAATTAATTTAGCATCATAAACTGTTTTGATTCTTTTAGTCATGTGAGAAGCTCAAAATATTTCATCCAATTTGGTCAAACCATATTAAAGAGTACATAATGGAACAACAAACTTGAATTACTAGAAAGCATTTAGATCATCAGAGCCTTTGTTATGTACAGGCCAATACACAAGAAATAAGCCAACCAACATTCTCATCAGCCTAATTTTAAACCCTGTTCATGAAAGAAGCTTGAAGGATACAAAAGTAGAAGATAAAACAAAACGGGCCATCGGCAAGTTCTAAATCTTGGTTTATCTTTCCTTCACGGTTAGCTTCGTGCGTGGGCAAGCCATGCTGATTATGAGGTTATAACTCTTAACTCTGAGGAATTTCTATCTTTCTATATACAAGGTGACAGACAATCCAAAACAATCACTAATGCCATGACATTTAAATTTCTTGCACGTGCCTGCAAATTTGTGCAGCTTTCCTTCTGATTGATCACTGAAATCTTTCCCCATCAAAATTAATTATGTCACTGTGTCCTGCATTTTTGTCATTACAACGTGAGATTATTCTTCACTCTAAAGGGAAAGAAGGCAAACTCCTAAACAAGCTTGAGCCTAAATATTTTCTAAAACAAATGAAGTGAGAAGTGGAGAGCACTACCATGGCTATAATTGACTAAGAGGTTTTTTCAGTGGGATATCACATGAACAATAAATTAGTTAAATGATAGGTACTAGCCACCAAGTACTCCACTCTCTACCATTGATAAATTTTGACTTAATTTGGATTTCCAGATTCACTCAACAAGAGTCTCAGTGACAAACCTTGACAATGAATTGAGTTTATCTCTGGTCCTGTCAGTTCTATACCATCATCATTAAGCAATGAGATTCCAGATGATGTTATGTTGAAAGGGAAGGCCAGAGGTGGTGATATGGGCGACTTTGCCAGCTTGATGAACCTCTTCCCTACAAGAAAAAACGAAAGTGTGGAATCAGTAATAAGGGAAAACAGTTTTGGATTCCACGTATTGTCATCATTGTCATCATCTCATTAAAAGGTCAAATTTTCTCCAACTATGGAACCATAAACTGTTATGACCATTCAATTCTAATTATATACAGTAAAATCATCAGTTAAAAAATAAAAGATATCCACATCAGTTTTGCTAATACAAATAAATCAAAATGAAAAAAGGGACTAATTGTTGCTGTTAATCTTCTGATAGCTTCTGGAAGGCATTGAAGAGAATATAGGGCACGCAGACTCATACATATTGACAAAAAATAGAGTTGCATATATTCTGAAAGAAACATATCCATACAATGAGATTTGCAAAGACACCTCATATGAATAACTAAGCAAGAAGAGTCTGCTTCATGACAGTTTAATAAATTTCAAGCTAAAGCATATATTGGGCAAACCAGATTTAGAATCCAGCACTAGACGTATGGTCACAGCATGAGCCCAGTGAATCCCCAAAGCAGCAACAAGATGAGAATCGTATCCTGTATGATCCTCCACTGCTTTTTCCCTGCTCTGCCCTGTACGAATAAAATATATTGCATTCATAACCCATACCAAGGATATCACAATCTGACAATACTGTCCTACCTTGAAAAGAATACTGGCAGGCTTCATCACGAGTTTGAGACCTCACTTGGTTTGTAACAACAACAGGGATTCGTGAAAATTCAGCAAGCGACCTGAATATGTTAAAGAGAGAAAAGGAGCTTTATCACCATCAGAAAGATACAATCACCAACACCAATAAAGTTTCAAATGTCTAGGATTCTCACTTAATAGAGGAAATATGCCAACCCAATAAATGCTGCCTGGCAGGTCCCTGTCCATATTCCCTGGAAAAAAAAAAAATCAGCATTTCTTAACAACTGCAAGAAAACTGGATAATCATTAAATATGACCATTCTATGGGAAGACATGTCTAAGTATACAAAATAATGAAATAAAGGATTCATAGAGCTGAACTAAAGAAGTAGGGATAAAGGAAAACAAATATCATACGAAATACACAACCCATATTTTGACAACCTAACAGAAATATGACAATATACACCAATCTTATCCCTTGCCTAGTACCTAGACAGGGATGTCAAACATGTTGAGGAAAGAATGGGTTCTCGAATCATCCTATAAACAGTTAACAAAGTAAGGAAACATATTTGATTATTCAGAAAGCTAATTCTACTCATATATGGCCCTTCTAACACATCAGAGTTTAGAACAAGGTTATATATGTAAATGATATGATATGGCCCAGTTCTAATTATATAGGACCACAACTTGTTCAGACTCTGGATATCCAAAACAGGTAACAAGCATAACAAAGAAATCTGAACTTACCCCGAAATAAGAGCAGCCATGCTATCGATGATTAGCAACTTCACTTGGTTTTGAAGGAGTGAAATCTTGAGTTGTTGCAAACTGGAATGAATTGACTTAACTCATGTAAACCTCATCTTAACAAGTAGGCATTATCCGCACAACTCATGCTTATGCATTTAGCTGTATCTCAAAAGTCCAAAGCACTTTTTCCCAATGCTTGGGTACCTCCAAGTTCCCTCCATGCCAGGACTAACAAACTTACTAGAGATAGGGAAATGAAATTTTAATTTGACCAATACCTCTTAGTGAATTCAGAAAGTGATGCCGGCTGCAAAACAAGGATCCTACCTGCCATCTGAAATGCAAACAGAAGAAAACTGTCATTAAGCAAACATGATTCTCATTAAAACTTGTTCGAGAGACAGTAATAACTTTCAATCTACATTACCTCTTGGGCCATTCCCTTCGTGTGAAACACATCTGGAAAACTCTTTGATCCCATTTCTATCATCCTAAGTGAGAAACAAATCAGAAAACTTAAACATCTCCCGTTTCTTTGATGAAGACAGTAGGCAAAATTTTGTCACAAAACAGCTGATAATTGATGTTATAAAACGCTTTAATTACCTTTTTGAACTGAATTTAGATTCTACATCAATGTATATTACACGACCACCTAAACCTCCATAAGCTGTCGGCAACGAGGCCAACAATGCGAGCTTCAGGCAAAGCTGCAATTGAAATATTCATTCAAACAGATGCAAAGATACATACAAATAGAAATGATTGACAGATGATGGTCAGATGGGTGAAAGAACAAAAATTATACCTGAGTTTTGCCAATGCCAGCAGGACCAACCAGCTCAGTCAGAACCCCAAATGGAATCCCACCACATAAGGCATTGTCTAGTCCTTTGAGGCGGGTGGGGAGGTGGCCACCCATGTGCTCCTTCTGAACCCTTTGCTCCATTAGAGTTAAGGCCTAATCAAACACAGCTAAAGCCACAGCATATCAGAAACACACCCAATTAAATAAAAATTAAAAAATTTCTAAAAATTGAAAAGGAAAATTAGGGTTTTGATGATCACAGTTTGATAGGGTGGACATGTAATTTCGCTGATACGAGCTATTGCAGACGTGACATCTGCTAAACTCACATCTAACACCTCCATTAACTCGAATTCGGTTAAAGACAAAGCTTCCTGAAAACCAATTCGCGTTTAACAAAAAAAAAAAGAAGACAATTTAGAAACTAATTATTAAAAAAAACATAAATTTGTTTCAAATTTGAATAAAATGTTACCTTGGCCGTGGTGATGTTACGAGCTGCGAAAACGTTAGCGATGGATTTGGGGAGGCCCATCTGGTTGATGAGCTTGTTCGCCATTTTCACTCTGAGAAGTGCAGAAGCTTTTCCTTCGTCTTCCTTGTGGTTTCCCGCCAAATGTGAAGCCCTAAAGCGCCAACTTTGTCATTTTAGTTTGGGCCATCTTAAATAGGCCCAGTGGGCTATTCTTCTGGTCCAATAGTAAGGCCCAATTCCAGCTCAATTTCCATTAAGACAGGAATGTTTACAATCCGATAGGGTCCGAAACATGGAACTGGGCTTCTATTGATGATCATAAACCAAGGCCTCGTTTGGTACACCTCCCAGGTCTGGATTGGATTAGACTAAAATTAGGCCCATGTTTGTACACCAACTTCTAGTTCTAAGCTGGGATTATTCATGCGGGGCCCACCAGAAGCACCTCCTTAGCAGGTGTTAGTGAATCCCGTGCGAAAGGAGGGGACTAAACAATCCTGTGTGTTTTCAAACCAAAAATAAAATATAAAATAAAAAATCTCGTGCGTTCTGTGCTCATCCTCCTGCTCCCATGTCCGTCAAATCAGCCGAGTTTTTTATCGATAGCGACTCTAGCCCTGAACACAACGCCGTGTCATCGAGCTCGGACCCAATCGCCGAGCAAATCCCATGGATCTGAGTCAGTGCGAGGGTTCGTGCTAGTGCCTGCGATGCCTCGACGAATCTGAAATCGCCATGGAAATGGAAGAACCAAAATTGAGAGAGAGAGAGAGAGAGAGAGAGAGAAGAAGAAGAAGAAGAAGAAGAAGAAGAGGAGGAGGAGGAGAGGATGGTGCTGGGGAACTCTCGCTTCCCTTGCGGAGATCCAGTGGTTGTGTTGCACTTGAATGTGGTGAGCAAAATTGCTCATGTTTGGAATACTATTAGAGGCAACAACTTTTTCACCAAGTATATTCACCAACTAGTATGTTTGTACATATATTAGAGTCTAACTTGTTAAAATTAAATAAGGAATAGGATGAAGTTAAACTGAAAATGAAGGACGGACTGACGCATTATTTGGAGAATAAAATTTGGTAAATAAATTTGGTGTGTGTTGCAATTGCTCGTGGAAGATTGACCCCTCCGACTAATTTATTATGACTCCATTATCTTTTTACAATAACCCATTAGAAAGATTTCAATCTGATTTTTACTTTTTATTTTTATATAAGCAACATAAGAATGGGTAACCGAACCTAAGACTTTTGGTGCAAGAATACATACTCTTAACTACTTGAATAACTAAAACAACTCTTTCCAATAACTAAAACAACTCTTTCCTATTGTGGAAGATGTCTCAAATCCCGCTCAAACGTGCCATAAAAGAATTATACTTTTTTCTTCTTCTAGAAGTTGCCCACCCTCCGCAGCCACATTTGTATACCACAGTTTACTTGTAGGAATTTGCAAAGCAAGGGGCCAACCGCCCAAGCATCCTCTCGTCTATGTATGACTTTAGCAGTTTAAGTACATAGCAAACAATGATGCTCCTCAGACATGTCAAAAATGAATAATACATTTTTCTTTTATTCCATGTTTGTAGAAATATCCATTACTGACCACCATTTGTCAATACAAAAAGAGTATACCGTACCACTAATACCTTGAATACAATATAAACCTAATCTTGAACATCCTTGACCAACTAAGACATGTCAAAAGTCCAACATCTTTTTTGGAGTTTTGGTTGATTTCTTCAGGTCTCCCTCCTCTCTGGATCGAAGATAATGCTATTTTCAGTACAGAATGGACGGTCCTAAAAGATAATGCTATTCTATAAATGGGAAGAATTTGTATTTCAACCTTGCTGGATTGTAGCTGGATGGATGGAAAAAATTTAGCCACTTGAAAAGTTTAGGGAGGAAACAACATAAATTTCTGGCATGACAGCCCATATTTTTTATTTTATGGTAAGAACCCATGTTATTGTATTATGATAAAGTCAATTCTCAACACTACAGTCAACACTTTATTAGCCAATTAACACAAAAAAGCAAAGAATTTGTAATTTAAGTGATTAAGAATTTTATCTATGCGCTCGAACTTGAGTCCCCCTCCTATAATATCGCTTATATAAAATAAATAAAAAATAGATAATCAAAGATAAAAAGCCAGAAGATGCTAATATTAACAGTGCTTGGTTCAGTAACAACAAAATGCATAGTGCAAAACATAATATTTATAACCACCATATCATATAACAACACCACATAAAGCAACCAAAGATACAGACCCAACAAAATACACTTCAAATGCAGAACTAATAACTCTTCCAAGTATGTCTCCTCTCTAAAACTCTCAGAAACAACACTGGAAGAGGTTCTCTCTTTTTTTTCTCCTTCTTTTCCATCACAAGACATGAACTGACTGTAGCAAGACACTGAAATAAAAGATAAGCTTAGATGGGTTATGGTCCTGCAAAACTCTCCAAAAATATGAGTTTTACAGGAAAGATAATTATCACATAACCCATGCTTGATTTGTACATCTAAAACCCAAACAACAATACTTTCTAGTCAAAGCCATCTGCAGAAAAAACAAAGCAGAGGCTTTGACCTGACTCAAAATAACAAAATTCTATAGCTTCATCGATATGGGGATAGGAAATGCTTCATAGCATGAATCAGAGAAATCCAGTGATTTTCTCATCAATTCACCAAGTAGGTGATGACCCATCTAGCCATCTGATCATGCCCATCAATTGGCATCAGAGCTGTAGGCACTTGGTGGTGGGGTTTGAGAGGCAGAGCTTTCACCACCATCTTCTCCTCTGTTTTTCCCCTGAGTTCCAGGTTTCGAGGCCTTGTTGACCACCACTTTGAAAAAGTTTCCAAATATCTGAAGCTTGATGAGGCCCCTCCTTGGAGGAAACCTTGTGTTTCTCTTCTCTTTGGGTGCCGGAGAAGCGGATGCCATGGCTGCAGAGCAGAAAGAAAACAGAGTAAAGGGAAGTGAAGATGGAAGAGGAGATTATGAGAGAAGCAGAAGATTTTTAAGAGAAAGATGAGGAGAAGGAGATGAAATGAAAAAATCTGAACAGAGATTTGGAAAAGGGAAACAAGCAAGACCCTGTAGAGAAACAGAGCCTCTTCCTCTTGAAACAAAGGCAAATGATACAACTGGGAGGGGTGGGGGAAGGTATTATTTATAGTGGAAAACATAAGGGGGAAATTCTTCATTGAAACCTCCCAAATTGCTAATCACACCCTTCAAATTTTTCCCTCAAATGCCAATTTTACCCTTCGATTCGGGGGGGATAAGAACGGATCTCTTACTTGGTCTCCAAGTCTTCCATTCATATTGAAGTCACTTTTCTTTTTCTTTTTTTCTTAAATTGGGATTTACAAATTTAAATTCCTTGATGTGAACAATACAGACTCTTCTACTGCCCACCTAACAGGTCTTGGGACGTCTTCTGCTTACCAATGCTATGTTGTCTTGGTCGTTGACACAATTGAACATCGAACATGGACACTGTCTATGTAAAAGTCTCCCATGTAACATTGCAGAGCAGGCTTTCACCCCAAGTCAATGGAACATAAGTGATAAACTGCTCAGTGTTATCGTGCATTATTTGCTGATAAATACCTGGGCCTTCCCAGAAAGTCAGACTCATATAACTTGTCAACATTGCACATCTTTGACAATATAGGGTATGATTAGCTTTCCATGAAATTGCCCCCATAATCACTATCTACTATCAATATGCCAGTTTGCCATGTTAGAGTTGCAAGCTCTCGTAATGAACCAACACTGTCCGTATATGAAAAAGACAAAGACATGTCCGTATAAAAAGAGAAAGACGAATATAAAATACATCCTCTTTTTGTAGCTTGCGAAGCTACAAAGAAGCTTGAACTCATCATCACTTGTTAGATAATTATTTAATCTCAAAATTTTAAGTTATTAGACAATAAGTTAACAATGTAAACACTAAGATTCAAAAAGAAAAAGAAGTAATAATCAAATGTAAGCATGTCACGGATGTGGGAGCCACAAGGATGTATCTTTTGTTGCTTTATTCTTCTTTTATATATATATATATATATATATATATATAAAATACAAGATA